AAACGTTTAACTTCCATTTTCCCTCCAATCTGCAGGAGGTTAACGGAAATCTCTTTGATCTCAGTCAGAAGTAGTCAAAATGTAGGTAAAATTAGAAGCGCCTTCTTAATTCAACTCCTCGATTTGCAGCCTTAGTGTGAAATGTTTGGACTACTGAAGGGTACAGCTTCAAAATTGGAAAATGCTTTAAATTCATTATTCATTCGGCTCTGTGCATATAATTGTTTCTTTGTTTTGGGTCAATGGTTCCATAAGGATCGGTTTCTATGAAAAAAAAAAAACCGGTACCAGAGTGGCCCCAGTATATGACGCACACGTAACAGGACGATACATGTCTAAACAAGTTTGTTCCTGCACGAGTCAACTTTGACTGTTAGGCTATGATTCAATATTTACTAGAAGATAAAACAACACAGACAAGTGTAATAGTCTGATTGACCCAAGGACATTCCGGGAAAGATTGCGTCAAATAACACCTTTGGTTTAGGTCATAATAAAGAATGATCGTACATCTGGCAAGGCTTCGTATCTTTTATATAAGGCTAGGTAAATAAAAAACCAATATTAATTCTTTAGTCTCAGTAGGTTCCAAGAAGTTAATTAGACTGACCATCTTATCTGTGAAAAAAGTGAGGTTGGGGGTTTTCGTCCGTCGTTTGTTCATAAAATGTGTATCGCTGCATCTAGGTAATCAATTATGTATTAGTATACTTAAATATAATCAAAGTAGGAATATATCGCAGTAGGGCAGGCTTTCCCAAAGTGGGCGATAACGCCCCCTTGTGGGCGCTGCAGGTCTCAAGTTGCGGGTTATAGTAAAAGTTTCGTTTAGAAGTCTCCGTTAATATACATATATAGATTACAATAATCAATTAATTTAATTTCAAGTTATAGTGGTTTTTAAATATTTGAAAATATAGGGGGCACTAAAAAAATATGTATTCTCAAAGTAGACAAAATAAGTTTGGGAACCACTGCAGTAGGGGGTCAATACTTAATCCTCAAGGGACCACTTATATCCTTCTATTGGGACTTCAATAAAACTGGATACAGAGAAAGGTTGTTGTCTGATATTACTATACGGAATTGCAGAATCCAAATGTCTTACTTATGTTGGTCGCATTCAAATTTTTTTACCAACGAAATATTCACGCTAAAAAATCTTATTGGTAAGATCTTAGTGGTTGTACAATTTTGTTTTAAAACGTTCTTTTTTTAGCTCAAAGTTGTCTTTTTAAACTTAGGCTTGACTAAGTTGAACATTTTGCACTTTTTTGTCTGCCTTTCAATTCAGCTTTGATATTTATAATGCATATTGTTCCTAGATGCGCCACCCTGAATAATTGATATGGTAGGATGTGGTAATTCTGTTCTGTTATTCGTTAAGGTTTCGTCAAGACAAATCTTATTATTCTTATAATGATTATATCTTAATATTCTTTGAATCATTTTCCTTGTTGTGTGTTTGGGTTAACAAAGTGAAAAATTAATTGCCACACGGTGAGTTTTGCTTTACTTAGAATTAGTGAGTGTCGTTATCAGTGACATTGCCGCAAAGTTCAGCGCTCGCAGTCAAGCGCCGTCGGCAGGCAGCAGGCGGCGGCTTGACGTCACGCGCGCGATAGCCGCGTTATCGGCGACGATGCCACATTTACCGAGTCTTGTTTCTGAGGAAGCCTCGAGTATTCGCTATACAGTAATAAACTAAGATATCCGCGCGGCCCGATAGAGCATGACCCGAACCGACCTTTATTCGAGCGAAGGTAATCATCAAAAGGCCGCCGAGCACGCGGTCGTTTGCGCTCGTCGTGTTCGCATTATCACCGCCGGTCGCAAGTAATTATTCATTAAACAAGGTCGCCACGGGTGCGAGGCGACTTTGAGCATTTGATTATTTATTGTTGACGTGAAGTAGAGGGTCATCTAAGTTAATTTCTTTGGACGCTCTTGCGGACGCAGCGGCGAGCGGCGGTCAAGTCTAATCAGTCTCGTCGAGCATTCGGCGCGCCACGTCGGACCTGTCGGCGGAATCGTATATGACGGAAGGCAGAATTGCGTCAGAGGAAGCGGCCTTCTTTACTGGCACCGTCGGTGAGGGAGATAGATGAAGAGAGGAGCGGAAGCGCTCGCCGGCCGTCGATGTGGCGACAATGCCGAGCTATTTGTGTTAAACGAGCGATTTATTTCAGTCAGTCGCAACGTGAACGTCCGCGTTGGAATTTCGGCCGCGAGGAATCCGATGCCGTTAGCTCGTGCGGCCGAGAGGCGAGCGCGTGGCAGCTGGGGGCTGCTGCGCTCAGCGTGGAGCCCACACCGTGCTCGCTGGCGCCGGTGCCACTATACGTACAAAAGGAAAATTCGAGATGCGGCTGACTCATCACCTCGGCCACGGCCGCCGCAGTTCACTTAGCAACGCGCGCGCCGGCACTCTAATGCGATAAATGTCTTTTTGCTTTCACTCGAAAAATAGAATACACATTTTGTTTCAACCTCTTACCTTGGCGGGATCGCGGTCCTAGTGAACGCGGCACATATCCGGCGCAGCGCCGGTGCTCACACACTGCATTGACACGGCAATATCCAATAGTGAACACACAAACGCTAGCGACGGGAGTCCGCGACGCGTGCGGTGCGGTCAGCGCGAGCGTCGGACGCGATGTCGCGCGCTCGCGGAACTGACTGCGCCGGCGCTCCATTTGGGTCACTGTCATGCGGTGGAGGGGCGGACACGTTCGCTTCTGAAATATTAGCGTCTCGCGAATATGTTTCATCGGCGTCGGCGGGCGTTTTCGCCTCCCGCTTGCACACACGCGCGTTGTCGCTCATTTTCAATAGAGACCGAATTTTGGCGTTCGCCATCTCCAAATACTCTCAGCACACTGCCGATATCAAAGCCTCACTTATGGCGCGAAACCTGACTGACGCAAAAAAGCGCGGCAAGATTTTAGCACCGAAGCGCTTAATAATTGTAATAAATTGCATTTTTGAACTATTGTGGTAATATTTGTGGAAATAGTGTATACATTATTGTTCTTTTATTGCTATAAACAAAACATTACGGATGACGATTAAGGCAATTTTTAAATAGTGCTGTTCTTTGCCAATTCAGCTCGTTAAAAATGAAAATTTATACGGTGGTATACCCATAATTATATATTTTATGACATATATTTTTCGTGGTAGTGGTAACTCGTTACTATAATTACGGCATAACATTCTTAGGGCATGGGCATATGTGTTTAAAACCAAGTCAAATAAGTAGCAGACTAACTTTGAGATTTGATGTGTGGGTTAGAAATCATACATGACGCCTACGCATTCGCAGAGCCTACAAAATACATTATGGTCTGTTATGTTGGTATTTGTCACCTTGAACATACTTAATAAATACAATAACTTGGTATACAATTGTCTGTTTGCAAAGAGTTTATTATAACCTATATGTTTTATTAATATGAATTTTTCCATCAAACACAATCTCTTCTACTAATCTATACACGACGTTAGTTCAATAATATAAAATTTATCTGATAGTTGTAATGCCATTTAGTCAAAAAGCCATTTACGATGCATTTGTGAATACAACCCTGTCTTTCTCTTAAAATGTTATTTAACGCATATCTTTTGAATCGTGTGTATGTAGGTATTGTCTTTACAATGTATTTTGGAGTCTTATATATTTAGGTCTATACATCTAGTTACGTCTGAGCATAATTATTTGATGTTGTCATACGAATAGTAGAACGATTGCGTAGTCCTACTTGTTTTGTTGTCTGGTCTGGCGAGGACGGCTGATTCATGAATTTCACGAAAATGATTTAATTCTGCGTTGTTTATGATTAACTCTATCAAAAGTTGTTCGGAAATAATTGTTACTGTGTCCAAAATCATATTATGCTTTTTAAATTATAATTGCCTATGTGTTCTTCCAGACTATGTTCCACATCTATGCCAAATTTCAGCGAGATTCGTGCAGCGGTTCTGGAGTTACCATCAAACAAACATCCATCCATCTCGCATTTTTTTAATATTAGTAAGATTAGTAAGAAATAAGATAATAAAGTTGGAATAGAAAATCGGAGAACTTTTTTCATGCATAGACCGACGTAGAATAAATGGCTGGATCAAGCTAGATACCACGAACAATAAATAAAAACGCCAGCATCTAAGAAAGTAGGCAGGTGTTACAAAATGTACAAAATTTGTCAAAGTCTCCGCATAATTTACGTCTTTGACTATTTATTGCTCATTATCCCATCACATATAGGGTTTTATAATTGTCAGTTTATTTATAAGCTCGAATGCAATCCTTTTTCTCAAATATTAATGAGTATTCATCATCTATACTAATATTATAAAGCGGAAGAGTTTGTTTGTTTGTTTGCTTCTTTAAACGCGCTAATCTCAGAAACTACTGGTCCTATTTGAAAAATTATTTTTGTTGGATAGTCCATTTGTAGAGGTAGGAAGATATATAGATATGCAACATTACGCTGAGACCAATAGTTTTTTTTTGAATTCCGCGCGGACGGTGTCGCGGGCGATAGCTAGTTAATTTATATAACGAGCCGTGTCACACTTCACTCGCCAAAATCGGTTAGAGAATGTAGGGAGATGTTTTCACTACATATACGGGAGAATTATAAGTAGGAAATGTATTTTACGGTTACGTCCATAAAAAATAATTATAATTAGTTTTAATTACTTTCTATTTCAAAATGATCTTGTATTATGTATAATTTTTATAAACAATATTGTCAAATACGCGACGTGCAGTAAGTACTGCAACGGTAAGCTACGGGCATCTCATTGCTCTCAGCCGATCCTTAGTATTGCCATCTTTAGTAGTCTTTAGATTAACTGCCTAATTACATTATTATGTATAGATATTTATTTATGATTCAATATTATATATTTGCCTGATATTTATGAGAGAGTGAGCACATAACATACTGTGTAGATACTCTATAGGAAAAACGACAGGAATGGTGTTATATAGCTGATTTGTTTAGTTACGTGACGTGACGTTACGAATTGGGTGATCTTTTTGGCCATAATAAACTCCTTTAAAAATACAGATCGGAAAACAGTTGTATTGTCAAGTTCGATGTAAATTATCGAAACAATACCTCGAAACGTTCGCTTTGCTCTATGTGATATAACGGTATAGAGATGTATCTTAGTCTATGCCTCTTTACAATAGTTGATGTGTTCATATTGATAGATCTTTGTAGTTTGTGGTACAAGTTTTCATCGACAAAAAAAATTGTAATAGATTTTTTTTAACTTCCTCGATTACAACTTAGGATATTAAATTACAAGATGTATCTCAATATTGCTTAACGCCTCGTTATCTTTTTCTTAGGCTTATTATGAGTCTCGTCTAAACTTTAATAACAAAGCAAGCTTAATAAATGACTAAAAGACCGTTATTTGATCAGCAGGTAAGACTTATCTTTTTATTGTAGAGATTGTTTTTGAAAGAACTTTCTCATTCATCCACGCACCCGCAGACCGTCTGACGCCATCTTGCCAAATTCCAATAAAAAAAATAATGATTTTCTATGCAATTATTCGTCAGCAAAATGATTTACAGATTCTTCAGGATTAAGTGTTGAATACATTGAGTAATAAAATTTCACTGACAGGGCTTTATATTCTAATTTATAAACTTTGTTATACATCCATATAAAATAATTTTTATTTATTGTTTGTATAACTTCTATTCTTCTTGATATAAGCAAGAAAGTAATGAGATTGAATGTGGAAGACTACAAGGGTAGGGGAAGACCAAAAAAAGTATGGAATGACTGTGTGAAAGAGGATATGCGCAAGAAGGGGGTAGACTCGGATATGACGGCTGATAGAGATGTATGGAGGAGAAGTACATATTGTGCCGACCCTCGATAGGGATAAGGGCAGGTTGATGATGATGTGTAACTTCTAAAATATTACACAATTGTTACAACTTGTACATTATTTATTTTGAATATATTCATCAGACTTTCAAAATTACTGTATATGAAATTTATTATTACGAAATATATTCGGTCATGGTAAGTTTTTATTTTATTAATTTCTATCACGTACCAAACATCGTCATAGATTGCTTCGAGCGTAGATTACATGATTATGGTATTAATATTTATATAACGTTTACTTCAATAAATAATTCAAGACAGACATAGGGCGATGGCTTTCTTCGTAAGGTAATAATAACAGCAAAAATATTGTCTTTTATTTTATAGCTAGCTGTCACGCGGAATTAAAAAAAATGAGTAGCTTGTGTTCTTCCAGAATATATTCTACATGTGTGCCAAATATTAACAAGATCCGTTAAGACGTTCCGGGTATCTTCTAACAAACAACCATTCATCCATCTAAACTTTCGCTTAATAATATTAGTAAGATTCCAAACACAGATATAAAATACATCAGAATATCTCAATTGGTGACGAACTCCGAGGTTATCTAAACTTTAACAAAGCAATTGTAAACGTAAAAGCTATACTAGATGAAGCCCTTGTCCATAAGGCGAAGAAGTTTATGTAATTAAAATTATTTATATTACATTTTTATAATACTTTTGAGTTTTATATTATCAACTTGATTTGTGGGACATATCGCCAAAGGTGTTATGTAAAATTATACAACATCTTTGTTCATTAAATTTCAAAACAGAGTACAGAGTACGTTTCATGAAATGGTCTGGTCATAAAATGCTAATCAAAATTTTTTTAATGCTATATTTTCTAAACATGTACATGATTAGTTTAGAAGGCAATTTGTAAGGTAAAAATTATTTTCCTCTATCCTGTTCTAATTGTATGGAGGTTGAGAGTTGATAAGATCAACGCTAGTCTTTATCCAATCGAAATACTGGCCATCTCAAACTCTTTGGACAGTTACAGATGATAAAAATAGTCGCCTAATGTCAGGCAAGCCACTTCTTTTTAGAAAAAAATTGTAGACAATCCTGTATCCAAAAAAAGAATACAAATAATTATCATATATCTCGGTAGCACCATAAAATAAGATACTTATTTAGATTTTTATGTAAATAAACAAAATTAACATGTAAAAGATATATATAAATTGACAAAAGTCAACTAATTTTGTAGGTTATCAGTAATTACATACTGTGTTATTGTTTTAAAACTTCTAGATAATGGACTTCACAAATATTGATTATTTTTTTGTAAACGAAACTTTGTCTCGGACATCACAAGTCGTGTTATTTTATGGCCTTATTTTACGTTAGTTACTTATTCTATAGTTAGAAATATGATAAAATATAAATGCTGAAATACTCACCGAAAATCATAAGCCGTCATCCCACTATGAAGTAAAACGGATAAAGACGGCACCAGTCTCTTTCAAACGAGGTCGTGTGCAACAAAAAGTCACGCAAACAAATAGAAATATCACAAATTTTATATCGAGCAGTACTCGACAGTTGGCGTGTAGCACTATTTGACAACTTATTAAGAAGCTGAGTTCACTGAGTTGGTGATTGAGAATTAAAAAAAAATAAGCGTAATGGGTGTCTGGGCGTGGCGGGGCGGGAGAGGGCGTAGCGCCCTTAGCGCCGCCCCCTGACTCACGACCAACAAAGACTTTGCCGTAGGTAACACGAATTGTTGCAACATTTGCCCACTTTTGTAATTGTTGCAACATAATCACTGTATTCCAGATCTTGGACTATTAAACATATATATAATAAATAACATAATGAAAGGATAGAGTTTAACAATTTTACTGAAGACATTTTTATAGTTAACTATCATGTCTTAGCATTTGATTTCATTATGCGTCATATAATAGCAGTCATTATCTTAAAAAACGAAATATTTTTGTTCATTTTCCATTGCGTGGTTTGCACCAGTATAGCATTGTAAAATGCAAAGCGATC